ATTGCGAAACCGGATTGTACGGCGGATTACTTTGCTAAATCGTTAAATAGTTCAAAATATTATTGTTTTCTATTTAGACACGAACAAAGCAATTTTTAAATTATAAAATTTCACTTACAGGTCGAGATGAATTAGGTGGGATTGGTGAAGAATTGTGAGAATAAGCAGTTTGTGGAGGATAAGAAATTGGTGCACTATTATTCATAGTGGGATGAGCATTTTGATTTGGAGGCCTATATGCAGTGGAGAGCTGAGGTGTATATTGAGCTGTAGGCGTTGGTTGTGGCGGTCTTTCTACTGGAGGTGGGACACCCTTTGAGTTTAAAAAGACAATATATTGAGTATATAAACATTTAATAGGCAACCATTAAGGAAAAAATGTCAATTAAAACACTTACAGCGTTATAAAACGTCATTTCAAGGAAAACTTCCCCGGCGTATTTGTTACGAAATTTGATTTCATGCCAAGCTGCATAGAATTAACACGAAAAATTTAATACTAAACAAATATCAAACCATTCAGCTTAAATCAAATTCAAATTCAAATTCAAATAGGATTTTTACCATCCCATTCGCCACTATTAAACACTTCGTCTAATTTAATGGTTTCATCACCTACAAGAACATGCTCTCGTTTATCTTCGTTGTAAACTTGAACCTTCATTACTTTATGTCTCGAGTCATCCATAATTTGAAAGCGTAGTTCTTCATCCCATTCCGGATGTTGCCCGCCTCGTCTATCTGTCTTCGTTCTTTTAGCCATATCTGCTATCCGAAATGTGGCAAAAGGATCCCCCTTCCCAATGACATCGCGGGCACTTAAATTGCGCTATATATTATAATAAGATCATTGCAGGATTGTGATTGTGTTTAAATTTTAAAAAATTAATTTATGAACATTAGGTAAAGATTCGTCAGTGCTAGATAATTAACTTGTTTCATTGAAATCTTTTAAAGTGAATTTGTTGAACTTTTATTGTGTCATAAATACAAAAAAAAAATCACCTACCGCTTTAATAACAACGACCACAAGCTCACCTAATTTTTTAGACATTTTAAAAAATATGAATTCTTTAGTTAAAAAATTATTCTGTAGTTCTTTTAATGTTGCTACTGATCATCGGGTGTGGCGTTTGGTTTTACACATGTTCGGATGCCGATACAATGTATTTATTTGCCAAATATGGTTATAACTAAGCAAATTTATTTTTAAAGCTAATGTAAATTTTGTGTATGGCATACCTGTTACGTATAAGTTTGCCAAGAAGTTCTTTCATGTTCTGGTTTCTAAAATAAGATAGCTTTATGACCTGAAATTATACCTATATCAGTCCTATATTGAGGAACTATTGAGGACCTTGTGTCCGTTGTATGAAATTCTAATCTGTTTTAGATCAGATTATTTCAGCATCTCTACGGACGTATCATTATTAAACCATTTGATGAGTTACAGCTGTTTTCATAAATTCTGGAACAACTGAAAAAATTGCCGATGACCGAATCGATAAGTTATCAAGTCGGAATCAATAAGTAACCGACTTCGGCCAAACTCAGAAACATCGATTCGGTCATTGGCATTTTATCAGTTGTTCCAGAATTTATGAAAACAGCTGTAGCAATAGCTCTGTTTTAAAAATTGAACTACGTATGCACTCATGTACACTCTCATGCAACTGTGTCACGATCAAAATTAATAAATTAATTTCATTATGAAAATACCTTTTATGATTTTTAATATTCGGTATGCATACGCAGCATTCTTTTTTCAATTCTAACACACTAACACGATATCTGCTATATATTAAATCAAAATAAATTGCTTGTTTATTTATTAAAATAAATTACTGTATCAGAAAGATTAATTTTTACGTACAGTACATAGCCTAAAAAACCTTCGGAAATTATTGGTCAAATTGATGAAACTAAGCTAGTATTTTTCTTTATATCAATGGGTAGAGAAAATAACACGTGTCGATTGAAAATTTACATTTTATATATATCTAAACCATAATCCAATCATAACCCAGAATTTGTACATATAAAAACAGGAAAAATTACATCGAAAAGTGGCATATCTTTAGAGGGTGGAAGCATGGGTGTAAGGTTTGTGACGAATGCAATCATCATTCACACCTATATTGCAAAACATGCAAAAAGGTAGCAGATGGAATATATAAGAGATGTGAATGTAATAATAATAATTCTCGGATAGTTAACATTTAGTAAAAATAAATTAGAATCGATATATAATTTTCCATAATTCACCTACGTAACAAAGATATTCATTTAACATGTGTTAGAATAGTTCCGGACAGGGCTAAAACGATACATAGTAAATGCCGGACATTTGATAAGTATCGTTCTTGATTCACATTATATTAAAATTTTATTGGCTCAAGAAACAATTGAATGCAGTATAATATACGTATAGTATAATTACTGCATCAATAAAATATATATATATATTTAAATATAAATTATATATACGTATAATAAATACACATATATATTTATATAATATAAAAAATACGTTTTATAATTCTTATCTTTAACTGCCACTTGACGAAAATTATGATTTAAAATATCTGTTTTGTTAAAACTTATAATCCATACTATGTTATTTATTTGACGAAAATATATATATATTTTGTGGGTAAGCTTATATAATTTAATTTACAAGCATCATATCATGCAAATACTTATTAGCTTATATTGCTATTGACTAGACGGTCTTAATACTAAGTGATTTATATAATAATTGCACCGACAGGTTACGAATTTATAGAGCCAGTGAGCCTAAAATCAAGCTTTCAAATCCTGTATTCTATCCTGGAATTGGACATGACGCTTGTGAAAAAGCTATTCAGTATTAGATATTAGTATAAAAACTATGTTCTATTAACAAGCATGATGAAAATCACACTTTCATAAAGATCAAGAAACTTACGCTAAAATGATTCACACAAATAACATATATCGTCTTATACTCAGAAGTTTATTAAAATACCATGATAAATACTGCTTAATAAAGGCAAACTATCTCAAGTTTAAACTGG